TGAAAGACCTTCGTATGATGCGTGTTTTGTAGCCCTCAGTTCAAAAAACGCAAATTTTGGATTTTGCCAGTCTTGAAGTATGTATTCATAAAATTAATAATCGCTTATTTATGATTTACTAAGAACATTTTCCATACAACATTCCTTTTATAAACCATTAAAACTTTATTACACGTTTATGAATACAAGGGTTAATCGTTAATGTAAATGTGTCTGCTCCTCTCTGTTGCGGGTGCCGAAGTATTTTTTTTTCTAAATTATATTAAATTTTTTAACATGAGAATTTAAACTGAAGTATTTATTAATTATTTTTTAAATAATTTTTTTTTAATATTAACATAAATTGAGAGCAATTGTTTATAACAGATTTTGGAACGACAATTTTTAAAATAGAATGTTAAACAATTGCATATATTATATTTACATATTTCAACTATGCTAATTAAGATGAGAAAAAAACTTAATAGTTCCACTTGAAATAATATACTTTTTTATACTCTGACCACAAATTGTTTAATAAACTGTATGAATGTCTCTTTAATAGAAAATTATTTCCAATACATATAATAATATAAATATAAAATCAACTCATAACAATTTATTATATTTAGTATAAAAATCATCAGTTGTTATCGTTACGCGTTGAAAATGCTAAAGTATTACTTGATCTTCATTAATTTTCTTATAATTGTTAATAGAACTTTATTTAATTTTGTAGAATGTTTTTATTTAATTTAATTGTTTCGATATTTGAATTACTTGTGTAGTAATTGTCACTTAAATCGATGAATCTCAATTGCACATAAACTTAATTAAATCCGTTGTTATCTGTTAAGTACGACTTTCTAATTGGTTTATACATTTTTTAATGTAAATGCATAAAACCAAATAATCAAAATACACTGCTGACTATCTATCAATGAGCACCTTTCCTCTTGATTTTATGTTTATTTTTATTAATTCATTACTATTTCATTCATTTTATTCCAAATCATTATAATCATCATCAATGCCATTTATAATATCTAACAAATGTGCGTGTCACCGTGCCAGTATGTCACAATCGATGCCCAATTTCACGTTATTGAAAATAAAGAAAAAGAAATGTTTTGAAGAGGTCTTTGACTTCAAATGACAAACGTAAACAACCCAGGAAAAACTTACATTGAAAAGTAATGAGTTAAATAGCTAATAAAACCTCTTTTCAGTACTTCTTCATTAGCATTTTAAGTCATTATTTTAACACGGTGATGTCATTGGAGGCAAGTACTTCTACGCACGCTTACAAATAGGGACTTAAAGAAGTACTTGCAATTTCCCTTACAAAACAGTTGTTGAGTAAGTTGTTTTGTTTTTTAATAATAAAAAGAGCCAGCTAGAATACGAACCAGGGGCTTCGGTTTGTTAGTCAAATGTTCTACGCACTGCACCACTGCTTAGCTATTTTATTGTGCGTCAAATAATGGTTTTCACAAACAAAACTAATTTTGTTTTATTTTTTGAAAACACAATTCTTAAAACGCAATTAAATAAAATGTGCAAATAAAATGACAAAGCCGAAAATAAAGTACTTCTATATCAGATTATAAGAAAGCCATTACTAGAGTACTTCTATGTAATGCAGACGGTAAGTAGTAGTCATTGAAAAGTAAGTGGTTATGGAAGTACAACCCATTACCGAGTTTTTGCTGGGAAGTGTACGTTTGTTTTTTAGGCATATTTGGAGGCGCCAAGCCATTTAAAGGAAATTAGCGAACAAACACATGATAATTATATTGATTTGTTACGTTTTGTTTTGACAAAACTGTCAACATGACCTTGAGAACGTTTATTGAAGTCTTGATTTTATTCATAAAAACATTAGCAGACAATTTGGTTTCACTTTGTTCAAAAACAATTATGTAAAAATTGCTTGAACAATTAATAATGTTTCAATTTAATGATACGTACTACTTTAATGTCTTTCTAGAATGTTCCACTTTTAAAATGTGTTTTGTTTAACAAATAAAAATTTACTAATAATTCATATTTACTTTTTTAATTAGATCCGGATTAAGCTTAATTTATCTATTATACCCTCACTTTCGTGAAAGTTTGTAATTTCTATAATATAATTTTCCGACCCTATAAAGTATTACATGAATGTATACTCCGTATCCTTAGAGATAGCGGAGTTGATTTAGCCATCTCCGTCTGTCTGTACTTATATGTGTTGAAATCAGTTTTCAGAAAACTCAGACATCTGTGAGATTCGAGTCTTCAATAGTTCTATCAGACATACATTCGGAAAGAACGCTATTTAAAATTACCAAAAATCGATCCGTAAATAACGGAGATATGAGTAAAAATTTCATCAAAAAATTTCAATTTGTCTACATGAAGAATGAAAAATGTAGAGCGCGGAGTAAGTGAGAACCTATAAAAGGGATATTTTTGATACTTTTTCGATCTTCAAAAAGTACTTTTTGAGAGTTTTCCTAGAAACACCTAGAAACATAAAATTAATCATTCAGAGTCCTAAGTGAATGAAAATCTGTAACAAAGGAGAAATTAAGGCCTTACTCATAAAAAATGCTTATTTTATCAAAGGTTTCATGAGTTCAAGACAAAAAGATATTTCGATTTCAATGCGGTTACTCTGATTCCTCTGAAATATATGTAATGCAATTATTCACAATTCCCATGTTTCTATCATACGAAGATGAAGCTCTGAGAGTAGCACTATTTACCGACACCAAAAATATTGTACACCGTAAATCTTCTCCACTACCACAGATCAAAAAATATGAATTTTCTGAATAAAAGAAATAAAATATTTATTTTTAGTAAGAAATAGGAGAGATCACAAATCAGGAATATTTTCGCAATAAGTTTGGGTTAATACGAAGGGAGAGACGAGCGGACGGGGGGGGAGGAGGCCGAAGGAAAAAAAGAGAGGCAGAGAAAGGGGGGAAGGGCAGAAGAGGGGGAAGAGAAGAGAGACAAAGACAGACAGACAGACAGACAGACAGACAGACAGACAGACAGACAGACAGACAGACAGACAGACAGAACAGACAGACAGACAGACAGACAGACAGACAGACAGACAGACAGACAGACAGACAGACAGACAGACAGACAGACAGACAGACAGACAGACAGACAGACAGACAGACAGACAGACAGACAGACAGACAGACAGACAGACAGACAGACAGACAGACAGACAGACAGACAGACAGACAGACAGACAGACAGACAGACAGACAGACAGACAGACAGACAGACAGACAGACAGACAGACAGACAGACAGACAGACAGACAGACAGAAGACAGACAGACAGACAGACAGACAGACAGACAGACAGACAGACAGACAGACAGACAGACAGACAGACGACAGACGACAGACAGACAGACAGACAGACAGACAGACATACAATACATACATAACAACAACAGTACAGACATACATACATACAGACATACAGACATACATACAGACATACATACAGACTACATACAGACATACATACATACATACATACATACCTACATACATACATACATACATACATACATACATACATAATACATACATACATACATACATATTTAAAACTACTTCATACCTAATCATACTACTACGAAAATTTATTAAACATTGTTGTAATTCTTTCCCACCATTTAATTATCGTACAACAAAAACGGGATAATATACATATTTTAAAACTTATCCTCTGACGAAATTATAAATTGTTAATCTTTCCAATTTATATCGTACACAAAAAGGGAAAATACAAAAACGGACATTCGAAAGAAAAAAACTTTCAGGAAAAACCTGTTTCCGCAACGGACACTAAAAGTCTTAATTCAACTCAACATATTGTACTAAAAGAATAGACACAAACCAATTCACTTTAAACGCTAAAGAGAGTTAGTATTTTCCTTTAAACAATCGAAGGTAAAAACCATTTAAGGATAGAATTCACCTCAATTGCAAAGCCAAAACACTCATACTTACATACATACATAAATACATTTAAACTCTTGTCTACTAGCGAGACACAAAGTCTCTGGCAAACAGCAACCTGTCAAGGGGTTGTTGTGTTCGTTCGTTTGAAGAGAAAAAACGTGAGGGTGGTAAAGGGTGACTACAATGTTGATGTTTATGACGTTTCTCGCCTATGTGTGTATTTTGTTGTAGAATTTATACGGAGAAAACTAACAACCGAATGATTTGTTTTTTTTTTCTTTTTTATTTTGCTCGGCTTTTTTACTATTGCGAACATGAAGAAGATTTTTATTTTAGCAAAAATACACAACTCGCATTTCGCTGTCTGCCATTGACCAGCATACACCGATAAAACGCGTGACGGGAAATTAAAACGGAAAAATAAGAAAAAAAATTATTTCTGAGAGAAAATTGTAATAGATTGAACAAACACAATAGAGTACAAATATTAAACGTTATAATTTAAACTAAAAAACCACCTGTTTCTACAAACAATAAAAGTGCAAAAGAAAAAAAAAAACAAACAACAAGTGTTAATTAATTAATTTATTTATTAAATAATACTACGACAATTAAATCAGTGACAAAATAAATCAAATATATTTTTCATACAAAAAATCTAAATGAAATAATTTAAATTTTAACAACCCCAACCATTTCTTCGGTTAAAAAAATTAATTAAAACCTAAAAAAATAATTAATAATAATTACTACTACATTTTTGTTATTGTGTCTAGCTAGGTTTTGAATCTAGATAAACGAGCACACTACATGCAGTGATTAAAATGATGTTTTCGTATCAAAATAATAAAATAGTTAAAGATTAAAATCATTTGAGAAGTGGAGAAAAGCCAAATACAACTTGTTGGCGTGTTACACGTTCAATTTTTTTCAACAAAAATCAACAACAAACTTAAATTAAGTGTTGAAAAGTTTAAAAAAATCAATTTATTAACCCAATATGCAATATAAAATATATTTATTCTTATAACCACATTACAACAACATCAACAAATAAATACAACAAATATAAGCTTTTTTTATCCATTTAACAATTTTTGATCTGGTAAGTTACTGACCATTTACGTACGTATAAATAATTTAAAAAATAGTAAATTAGGCATTCGTCGTTAGTTTCAATAATATATTTTTGTATTTTATATATTTAACACAAAGACTTGTAAATAGATTTGAATAAACTAACTTGTAAATTTCTATAAAATTACAAAAAATAGCGCTTTATTATTAAACAGCTATATGAGCAACATTGTTGATATTTCATAACAATAGACGCATAAACATTAAAGAGCAACAAAAAAGGAACATTGTTTTCTTATTTTTTATATGTACTATTATAAACATAACTTTTTACTTTGTAGGTCAAAGAAATAAATTTATTTTTACTTTATAGTGGTGTAGGCTATATTATAGTTTAACGGCTATTTTATGAATAAATGTCAGAAATTCGTGTGAAAATAATAGCCAAAAGGACTTTTTTGTATTATTTTCTTTCGTATTCATAAGATTAATTTCTTATTAAAGCAATAAAATTCCAATTGATTCTAAAATTCAAGATCGCATATTATTAGAAAATACACAGCTACGTGTGAAAAATAAAACCACAAATTTTGCAACAATTAGTAAAATCGACCAAAAATATGTTAAAACACTAAATAAAAAATGTATTAAAATCAAATAATTGAAAACGTTCTTGAAGCATGATCTTTCCATAATTAAATGACATTTACTGATGTTTAAAATTTTCAAATAACTGAAAGAAGCCTATTACTTTCATTGCAATATCAAAAAATATATCTTTGTTAATGAAAACCCCTTTTGACATGCAATTATTCAAAGAAACAAAAAAGGACCTGTGTTCCCTATCATCGATTGAAAATCTTGACCTTTTTATACCCTACACCACTATAGTGGGGGGGGGGTATTATACGTTTGTGCTGATGTTTGTAACACACAAAAATATTGGTCCTACACCTTAAAGTATACCGATCGATTCAGAATCATTTTTTGAGTCGATTAAGACATGTCCGTCCGTACGGCCCATGTTTGTCCTATACTCCTATATGAAGCCTCATTTGGAAAATTTGTTTTTTATCAAAAAATTGCTTACATACTTTGCAATTAAGGTAAAATTCAACATAAAAGTTTCGTTATGAAAAATAAACATTTTTAAAATATACTCATGGTGTAGGGTATTAAATGGTCGGCCATGCCCAACTATACTTTCCTACTTGTTTTCTTGTTCTTTTCGAATTGGTCTCAAAAATCCCGCCATTTTGGGCTTATTGCGGAAAAATTATTAAAATTCTTTTGAGAGTATTTCTGGTTCGCAAAACGATTTTTAGTGCATTGACCAATTGATTGGTATAAAAATTAAGTTTTGCATAAATAGGTTTCTTAAGAGAAAGATAAAGATCGATATACCGCTCGTTGGTTTTAAAATTACTCAAATAAAGTTGAAATTCGACACAAATGAGTTTCACATTAAGTCGATTATAAAAAAGTAAGAGTTCAAGATTTGTAGAATAATACGCGCACATATAAGTATAAGAAATAATACTGAAAAGTATTATATGAGCAATTTCGTGTCAAGTGACCCAACTCAAGAAAATCGATTTGGATGAAATTTGCACCAAGGTATTGGATAGTAGGCCAGATTTCCAAATTTTCAGCTCTATCGGTCAAGAACAGCCGGACTAAAAGGGTGTCAGAGTTGGACATATTGGTCATACAGAGTTTTACATTCATTTGAAAAAAACCCTGTATGACCAAAATGTCCAACTTTGACCCCCCTAACTCCGGCAGTTCTTGACCGATAGAGCTGAAAATTTGGGTTTATTCTAAATATCATACGAGTACTCAGTCAATTTCAAAATTCTTAAAATGTGTTCTTCTTTTGTCATTACTATGAATGATGATTTATCTATGCAACAAATAAAAATGAAATATTGTAAAATTTCACTAAAATAATAAAAGAAACAAAATGGAAAAATGAATTCAAAAAATGCAACGACCGCGGACTAACAATCAAACAATAGAAAGAGGTGTGTTCGTTCTCTACTTTGTAGATGTGAATGGATGTACAATTGTATCTTTGGGTTTGTGTGTAGTTTCAGCTATGCCTTTAAAGCTTTAACAGGAAACTTTTAATTTAATTAATTTAGTCACAAAGGCACAATCATATCTGACTGTCTTAATGTCTATATGTTTGACTTTCTGTCAGGCTGTGTCTGTCCGTCTGTGTGTCAGTCATTAGTTGTTTCTACTCTTTGTCAAGTGATGAAAATGGAAGAAAAGATAACTAACTTAAACTAGAACTAAAAAGAATACTGTTGTCACAGCAAGAGTCTTTAACTACATATACACAAGTAATATTCTTTAAAGTGGCGTGTTTGCATTCTCCTAGTTTCTGACATTGACTTTGATGCATACGTTGTCAAAATAACGTAAGTTTAGTTACTGTGAGTGCATTAAGTGTGTAAATGTTTAAATGAGTAAGTAAATGTATCTTCAAACGAATGAATGGTTGAATGAGCGAACGAGTGATAATATAATATTAATCTTGTTGTTTAAGAATAATGTCACTATGAGATGTCACTGGTTTCACAGAAGTTCGCATTCGTACATATAATAAATAATTTTCTTAGAAGTACAAACATATTCTCAATAGAATTTTGTTTTATTACTACAAGTAAAATACCCAATCTGATGTTAAATTTGTCTGAAAATGGTTACAGCAATTACACAGAATTCAACTACATATATTATGGTCAACACATCCCGGTAGTTAAATCCAAATTATATTTTCAAACATAATATTGGCCTTTTCCGCTTCATCAAAACTTTTTTTAACTGGAAAAATTTAAGAATATTTTTTAGCATTTCAAGCCTTGAAATGAAACCAAATTTACTACATATTCAAAGATTTCGTGATATGATTCATTTTCGTTCAATTTAACAGACATGTCTTTAATGTTTTTTGGCTTATTTAGTTTTGTTCTTTTATTGTTGTGTCGATATTGTTTATTTGAACAGTTCCCTTGAAAAACAATTTGCAGCTCTCAATAAATTATCGAGCATACAAATTTATTAGCTTTACTCGTAAAATTCATATAATAGCAGATCAAATTAGTTTTTCACTTTATTGATCATTAAAACATGGCGTAAACTTTGAAAAGGCCCACCCATATGTTGTCTGTGATCACTATACATAATATTCACAAAATGGTCCTAGGCTAACTACTTATGGATTTAAAAAATATTCTCTTAATACTCTTTTTTAACTTTATAACCAAATTTTTACAAAACATTTCATTTATATGTACTTTCTCAAATTTCAACGAAACAGGCGCAAAATTTGTTTATATTTGTAAAACAAATTTAAACCAACAGATAATGGAAAAACACAACAAAATAAAGAAAACGTAAAATATTTTAGCAAACATAACAAATGAAATTAATTTACACTTTATTATAAAAAAAATGCTACAAAATCAGCTTTCAAGAGTTGTCTTAACTTATCAACAACACTTTCACACCTTTCGATCTGCTGTTTTCGTACTTGACACACACAACAAACAGCTCTTTACTTTTTTTGTGAAAATATAATTTTATTCAACACTGCAACAATTGGGAGAAAATAAAAATAATGATGCTTCTAATTGCGTTTTATATAATTTCTTATTCTAGTTTTAACAATATTGCTTTTTCTTCATAATTTCTCAATCTTTTTTATTGACCATAAAAACTTCTTTTCTTTTGAAATCGATATCTTAGCGCTAAAAACAAAAGTAATTAAACAAAATTTCTACGCCATAAAATAAGTTTTTTACATTATACGGAAAAGAAAAATAATAACTAAAATAAAAAAGAGGAAAATAAATTAAGTAAAAAAAGATTTAGTTTTTAATTTAACGATGACTAAATATCACACTGAAATATTGAATTAGCATTTAATTTGTCTAATTGAATGCTAATTATGTTACAATAAGTTACTTGGAATCTATTTAAGCAAATAAATCAAATAATTCTCATCAATACATTAATACTTTACGTCACTTAGCACTTTTTAAGTATTTTTTATTATTGAGATTTCAGCAAAACGAAAATTTTAAATATTTATTCACCACTTGTTGAAGTTACACATTTACTATACAAATACTTAAATGTTTATGTTGTTAATGATAAACAGTCTGGTGAAAAAAATTAACATTAATATCCGCTTTTGTCAATTCTTGGTACAAACATATTCTTTCCGCTGGAAAAAAATTATTTCTTGAAAATAGAAAATATTTTTATAAACATTAAAATAAACTTCTGTTGCCTTCCGCCAGCACTACAATAAAAGATTTGTTTTTGTGATTTCCTAAGTGTCATAATTTCCTTTAAATGTTTATAAAAAACTCAAATGTTTATTAATTAAAAAACTTTGTTTAATATAACAAAGTAATGGAAACAAAAAATATGGAATAGAATTAATGTGTAGAACTAAAGTTTCCAAATATTGGTTCTTTGCTTGGTAAAGTTCAAAGTTTTCTTTGAACAAACAAACAGACAAACAGACGAACGAACGAACGAACGAACGAAAGAAATGAAACGAACGAACGAAACGAAAACGAACAATATAAACTAAACGAACGAACGAACAACGAACGAAAAACAACGAACTACGAACGAACGAACGACGAACGAACGAATCGAAACGAACGAACGAACAACGACCGACGAACGAACGAACGAACAAAAGAAGAAAACGAACGAACAACGAACGAACGAACGGAACGAACGAACGAACGAAACTAACAACAAAACGAAACGAACGAACGAACGAACTGAAACGAACGATAAGAACCTAACAACTAAACGAAACGAACGAACTAAATAACGAAAACGAACTAAACGAACGAACGAACGAATCGAACGAACGAACGAACGAAGAACGAACGAAACGAACGAACGAACGAACGAAAACGAACGAACGAACAAACGAACGAACGAACGAACAACGAACGAAACGAACGAACGAACGAACGAACGAACGAACGAAAC